GAAATTCAACACAAAAACAGAATACTAAAAGTTGTTAAAGAAACAAATCACCTGTAAAGGAAAGGCCATCAGAATCACAGCAGACTTCTCAGCACAAACCCTTAAGTCAAGGAGAGCTTGGAGTAAAGTATTTCAAGCCCTAAAAGAAAATAATCTCCACCCCAGAGTGATGTATCCTGTAAAGCTATCTTTAAAATTGACGGAGAAATAAGCTACTCCATGACAAACGACACCTGAGGAAACTTATGACAACGAAACCAACACTTCAAAATGTTGTGAAGGACATTCTAGAAAATGATAACAAGGACTACAGCTCCATAAACACCAACACGATGAATCCACAAAGCAAGACAAACAATTAAACAGAGGTGGGGAAAAAAACAAATGCAACAACAGGAAAATAACATGACAAAGATAAGTCAAAACATATTAATTATAAGCATCAATGCAAATGGTCTCAATTCTCCAATCAAAACAAACCAACTGGCAGAATGGGTGAAGAAGCAAGATCCAACAATATACTACATACAAGAAACACACAATTCAAAAAGAAATTTAGAGACTGAAAGCCAAAGGGTGGAAAACTATACTCCATGAGACAGGAACCCAGAAAAAAGAAGGGTAGTTGTCCTATTTGCTGACAAAGTGGATTTCAAGCCAAGACTGAGAGGCAAAGACAATCACTACATCCTTGTAAAGGGAACAATCCATAAGGAAGAGATAACAATCATAAATATATATGCACCAAGTACCAGTACACCCAACTATATAAAACAAATATTAACAAACATAAAAAAAATCAAATAAACACTAATACAATTGTAATGGGAGACTGCAATACCCCACTGTCACAAGTAGACAGATCAACTCGACAAAAAGTAATCAACAAAGAAATATCATAACTGAACCAAACTTTACAACACATGGACTTAATAGATGTCTACAAAGTGTTCAACTTCACAACATCAAAATCCACATTCTTCTCAGCTGCACGTGGGACATTCTCCAACATAGGCCATTTTCTGGCTCTTTGAACATGCTTAAGTAAATCCAAAGAAACTGAAATTACTCCATGCATGTTATCAGACTTTAGGGCAATCAAACTGGAAATCAATGGTAAAAGAAACCAGAAGAACTTCATAAACACATGGAAATTAAATGACACCCTCCTCAACAACCAATGAGTCACAGATTAAATGAAAGAAGAAATTAGACTGTTTCTACAATTAAATATAATGCCATTACAACATACTGGATCTTATGGGATGAAATGGAAGTAGTCCTACTAGGGAAATTTATAGTGGCAAATTCCCATATCAGAAAAAATAGAGTGAGCTAAAATAAGCAACCTAATGTTGAACCTCAAATGTCTAGAAAAAGAAGAGCAAGTGAAGCCCAAAGTCTGTATGAGGGAGGAAATTATAAAGATCAGAGCAGAAATTTATGCAACAAAGACTTAGACAACACTACAAAGAATCAATGAATTAAAGAATCGTTTCTTTGAAAGATTAAATAGAATTGACAAAGACTTAGCCAACTTTATCAAAAAAAGGAAAGAAAAACTCGTGTAATCAGGAATGAAAAGGGTGAATTCACAACAGATACCACAGAAACCCAGAAGATCACTAATACTTACTTCAAGAACCTATATTCTAATCAGATGGAAAACACAGAACAAATGGACAGATCCTAGATATATATGAATTGCCAAATCTGAATCAAGAAGATATGAAAATTCTAAAGAAACCAGTATCAGTCAATGAAATTGAAGATGTAATTAAAATCTTACCAAAAAAGAAAAGCCCTGGCCTGATGGATTCACTGCTGAATTCTACAAGAAATTTAGAGAACGCCTAGTGCCTCTACTTCTCAAACTCTCTAATTAAATTGAAAGAGAAGCAATAATCTCAAATTCATTCCTGGAAGCAAGTATTACCCTCATACCAAAAACAGAGTAGGATCCAACTGTCAAAGAGAACTACAGGCCAATCTCCCTAATTAACCATAGATGCACAAATCCTCAATAAGATACTGGCAAAGAAAATGCAGCAAATCAACAAGAAGATTATACACCATGACCAAGTAGGATTCATCCTAGGTGTGCAGGGATTATTCAATACATGCAAATCAATAAATGTAATATACTATATTAATAGATAAAAGGACAAAAAACATATGATCATCTCAATAGATGCAGAAAAAGAGTTTGGCAAAATCCAACACCTATTCATGATTAAAACTGTACAGAAAATTTGAATAAATGGTCTTTATCTCAATCTGACAAAAGCCATCTATGACAGTAACAAGCCAACATCATATCAAATGGACTAAAACTTAAATCTTTCACTCTAAAATCAGGAACAAAACAACATGTCCACTATCACCACTCCTGTTCAATATAGTTCTAGAAACATTAGCCAGAACAATTAGACAAGAAAAAGAAATAAAAGGAATAAGATAGGAAAAGAAGAAGTTAAATTATTATTATTTGTGGATGATGAATACTCTACACAGAAGACCCAAAAAACTCCCCTAAAAGACTCCTAGATATAATAACCAAATTCAGTAGCATAGCTGCATACAATTCAACACTCTAAAGTCAATAGCTTTCCTGTACACATATACGGTCTCACTGAGAAAGAAATTAAGGAAACAACACCTTTCACAGTAGCATCCAAATAAATGAAATACCTAGGAATTAATCTAATGAAGGAAGTAAAAGACCTTTAGATTGAAAACTACAGTACACTGAAAAGAAGATTGAAGAGGATATCATAAAATGGAAAGATATCCCTTTTTTTTAGGTAGGAAGAAACAATACAGTGAAAATGGCCATACTTTCAAGACTGTTATACAGATTTAATGCAATCCTATTCAAAAATACCAATAGAATATTTCACAGAATTAGAGAAAAATGCTAAGATTCATTTGTAACCAGAAGAGACCTAGAATAGCAAAAGCAATTCTGGGCAACAAAGGCAAGGCAGAGGGCATCACAATCCCTGATGTAAAATCATATAAGCTACTCTCTTCAGACTGTATAAATCTTTCACCTTTTACTAAAGATTTCTGTGGAGAGGAATAATTCTGACTCTTAACCCAATTTTTTGAGGCCTTGCACTAGCAGGGCTATATAAAAA